ATACTCTAAAATCCTGGAAATCAAATCCCACAAGAAAAGCTTTTTAAACGTTAAAATGCGAATATTCGGTGGGGTTGCAGAGGCTCCCACCTGAGACAGATTTGAACTGAGACAAAGGTGAAAAGTGATGATGAGGTGAAGGCGACTGTAATGAAAAGATATCATTTCAGGAATGTTGAAGTAGTCGGCAATATCCAACGGACTACCGCACATTGAATGAAGGGCAAGGATGTATTTTCTGTTAAAAGCACTGAGCACTTAATGGTGCAGTAGGAAGCACCCTTTCCTGTTAAATTTGCTGTACTTTGTACCTTCATTGTTAGCGTTGTCATTGGGTCCTCAAGGGCAAAATTATCTTGTAGCTACCAGTGGTTGACCCTTTGTAGTGCTGGGCTGGTAAACTCGCTGTAAATGGTCTGGACCATTCCTTTTCCTCCTGAGAAACCCTTAACCCTCCAATCTTGCCTCCTACTCTTCTTCCTGTTTTCATAATTACTTATTTTGTATGTCAATAGAGTTTTGCTTTGATGATGGTGGAATTGTGCTTTAGTCACTACTCATGCCACCTGTCTCCTCGTCATAGCGGATGGAAAAGTGTCCCACGGTCATGTGCGAATTGCGTCAGGTGAACTGCTGTCAACAAAGAGGTATGCAGAAGGCTTGGAATTGTCACTGGCAGTGCCGGGGATGTCTGTGAAGCGTTTCGACTATTATATATGTTATACGAGGAGACGTCGTGCGATAGGACATTGCCTTCGTGACCACACGAATTCTGCGAGATTGGCACAAGTCTTCTTGTATCAAACATTCCAATATCCTTTCACGGCTTGAGCTCTCCTTGACCTCCTTCTAGGGGGCATTCTAATTGGACACGATGAAGAGAGGGCCTGATGTCATCGTAGCTGCTTACAACCCCCTTTGACAAACGCCTACAGCCTTTTTTATTCGTGAAAAACACTTTTACGTGCTTGGAAATGATGGCGTTTTAGAATGTAATTGCTTGCCATCAAGTCTCATCCGTCTGCTAGACGCCTCTGCTGCAACACTGTCCTCGTTGCTCGGAGCTGTCAAGCCGCCACCGACATTCATGGCACCGCATGTATAGAAGAGGCTGTGGAGTAGGGAGTTCTGGTAAATGGGAATGTCAAACCCTCATTAGGGTGTAATATACCCTCCATTTACTGTCGTATGTTAGTCAGTGCCTCTCCACATTTTTGTTCACCCTCAACCGCATCATGTAGTGCACGCAAGACTTTAGCCAGCTCGGCACATAACAATCGAAGCAGCCACAATCGACGTGAAGCCCTTTGGGGGAGATTGTCAACACCGCATAGCACACATACTGGCAATTTCACGAATCCGGTGCTAATTGTATGTCAAGATGGTGTTGTCTTTTGTTACCACGACAATGTTGGATGCTGAAGAATAATTTAAGTTTCACATGGAATGAAAGGTGTGAGAAGGAAGACGTGAATACCTCACCTTGCATCATCACTTAGGCCAGAATCTGGTTGAACCAATTCACGAGGAAGCCTAAGTGGGGTCCTAATATTTAAATGTACTGGAAAGCGAAGTAAGTCGACTTGAGGTGAGGGATGATGCTAACTATCCCAGGGTAGTCCATCCGTTCCAGTAGATGTTTCTGCACCCCGACGACTTTCCAGGCATTTAAAAAACTCTTGCATGAATGCCGTATGCTTGTTATTCAATGCCATTAAAGACTAGCTTCAGTGTTAACTAAAAGTAAGTAGGAGAACAATGTGTTAGTGACAGTCTCCTTTTGGCTTGAATGGAAGGATTGTTAGGAAGCCCAACTGTTAAGGCACTGTAGTGATCAGCGTTGCAAATTCTCCTGATTCTGCCACCAACCGCCGGTTTTGTGGTACTCCAAGAAGTGGATTGGATAACAAACTGCTTATCTAGCATTCAAAGTCCTCCTGCTGCAAGGCTTTTGGCAGCATAATTTTATTCGCCGTCCAGCTGCATATCCACACATCAAGCAGTGACAAATGAGATGGTCCCGCTCTTCATCCATCCATCCATTTCATTTAATGTCCCAATTTTACCTAAGAGTGTTGACATTAGTGTTCCTCACTTATAGTCAAGGCGTTAACAAGATTGCCCGTCATTAAACCCAGTTTGATGCCAAGAATGCAGTGACAGACGTTAATGCCGCAGCATCCCACATATTCGTCCACTTTCCTTACCCTTTCAACCAGCCAATTACCTTCTTGTACTCACCCTGCTTTAATCTCTGCAACTAGGAGCCGCATGCAGTGGCGAGACCCCACGAGTTCATACACATTGCTGCTAGCCAAAGAGGGCAAAACAAGGGGTGGATTACATCTACTTGACATGTGAAGTGTTGCAGTACAGTCATACCTCCCTCTTCGTCCATCCCACGCATCACACATCAAAACTCCATAAGACATGGGTCATGCGGTCATCTTCATTTGTCTATCAGAGAGTACAGAAGAGGTGTCTTTACCGTAGAAAACTGGCTTGCCATTAGGGCTTCAACTGTTTTTGGTGTTGTTGTTACCACGGAGGCATAGGCAAGATACCGGCAGTTGTGCTTATTCTTATGCCTTCACTTGTGCTGCCTTTAATGCCTCACCAATCATCTCCGCTCTTCCACTGGATTTTAGCCCGAAGGAACAGAGATTGAATAGTCACGACAGCATGTTGACAACAGTGTTAAAGAAATGCGGCAATGTGAACAGTAAAACATTGTCTGTTGCTAGCATCTCCTTGAACTCGTGTTGGCTGGGGGTTAGGTGCAGCACTTGTAGCGCTTCAATTGCAGTGAGGTGGAACACGGGTGCTACAGACATTCACATCTGAAAGACGTCTACCAGATGGAGGTAAGAGACGCCATCAAGTGGACTGGGGAAGCAGAGGCAGTGTTGTGGATGCCTGTCCACTGGTACTGCTACTCAAGGATGAAGGACAATCAGTTGCTGTAAGTAATCGCAACAGAAATCACCCAAAACACGTAGACACACACCCAGGCCTATGCCGTTCTCTAATTACCATACACGCATTCATTGATCACGGCACAATCACTCACTAACTGGGCAACAATGACATTTGTCATCAAGTCATTGCTTGTCGATTACACGCTTCAGGGTTGGATGGGATCCGGACCACTCGCGCACACACCACCATGCTGTAATGATGAAGGACTTCAATTTGTACCTACAGGCGGTTGAGCCAAAAACACGGGGCTGTGAATGGAGCGCCTTTGGGTGGAGCCAAGACACTAGTGCGGATTAAGGTAAATTTGGATGTCCGTATTGGAATGGGTGAAGTGACCTCAGATGCAGTGACTGGGGTAAAACAAAGTGCTGGCCTAACATCAAGCAGTCTTCGGTGCCACAGAGGCAGCCACAGCGGTAAAATTGTGGTAAGAGATCGTTTCTACATGAGAGATGGCCTCTCATTCCTAGCCATCTGCATTGTCTACTTCAGCGTTGCATAGGACTCTGTTGCCTCTCATACTCGTGGAGTACTGAATAAGAAATAAGAAATAGGCAAAGGGACTACGAACAGTGGGTGTGTGACTGGCAACTAGAGAGCAAAGAAGGTATTTGAGCAAGTCGGTTTATATGCGTGCATTCATTTAAGCGTATTTACAGAACTAAGTTGACCTTGACATTTGCAGACAGTCGGTACACTTGAAGTAAATCTCCGCTTCGTTCGTAGTAGCACTTCCTGTCACCATCTTGCAATAT